GGGAGTCAGTTCCACTGGGGGTTCTAGGGATCAAACTCAGGTTATCAGGCTTGCACAGTGAATGCTTTTACCTGCTGAGCCATCTTGCCAAGCCCTAATTTTGTTTTTTAGTTGGGAAAACAATCAGTGAATTGAATTTATGATTCATGAACATGTATCTTAAGTCATGTTAACATTTTATAGATTAAAAAATACATACGTAAATGGTCAAAGCCCGACACTGTAGTACTAGCACACCTGTAAGGCTGAGGTAGGAGGATCATGAGTTCAAAGCCAGCATAGGCTAAACAGGGAGACCTAACCAAAAAAAAAAAAAAAAACCAAAACAAAACAAAAGCAAAAAGATATGGCCATCACCCTTAAGCACACAACACACATTCACATACGATTTCATTAGGAACATACTCAAGAATTTACCTTTACTTTAAAAATAAAATTTAATTTTGTTCTGATATAGTAAAAATTGATTTAGCAAGGAACATCTTGGTGAGAAAGGGCAGTTCCTAAGAATGATAACCTACTTTTTACACTGGCTCTCTTCCCTTAAGCATCTGTCAAGTGTAGGAAGAGGAAAAGGTGCTGAAATCTGGAGAGGCAGGCTAGAATAAAAATATGCTTGGTTCCAAGAATGAGAAGTGAGAAGAGGGAGAAGAGAAGGAGAGGCAGCGTGGCAGGCAGGAGGGAAAGTGGAAAGCAGGAGGGAGGGAGAGAAAGGCAGGGCGGCGGAGGAGAGGCAGGACCGCGAATGTTTGTAAGTTGGGAAGTACTTTACACACCTCATCCTTCAGCTTTTTCAGCCCTCTCGAATCTTGGTCTTCCCTTTCTTACACTCCTATTCCCTAATCTAAGCTATCAACAAACACTTCTAAAACAGAACTCACATCTGTCCACTGCTCTGTCTCCCGAACCACCACAGCCCAATAAAACTTATCTGGGCTACCGTAAAGTGCAAACTAGGATTTATATCTATTGTTCCTCTCTGATCAGCCATGAGCTTTATATTTACGGACTGACTGATTGTCTGTTTTATCTTTCCAACATGGGGGTCCTAAGGACTGAATTCAAGTCATTAACTTGGTGGCAGGTGTCCTTACCTGCTGAGCCATCTCAAGCCCCCAGAATAATCTTTTAAAAATGGGTTATGGCACTGTGTAAGCGTCCCATTGGCTTCCTAAGTGTATTTTCAGATCAAGTTCAAACTCAGCATTTAGTTTAGTGCCTCTGCTGCACACAGCATCCAGACATAAATGCTCAGCAAATGCTCACAGACTGAGTATTGCCTCTGCCTGACTCTGAGCTTGAAGTGGCCCTCTCTGTAGGGAACTCATGATTCTTTCATTTCCTGGAGCTTATTTCCCGTTGAAGCCTGTTGTTTCTTTCTCCTGAAATGTTTCTCTTCTAGACTCCTCAAGGGCTTATTTCTTCCTCATACTTCAAATTTCACCTTCAATGTTATCTCATTGATGAGATCTTCTTTTTTTACTTTCTAAAGACTTTTCTCTATAATTCATTTTTAAAAGATTTATCTATTTAAAAATTTTTAGATTTGTAATTTTTCTGTATATGAGTGCCTTGCTTGCATGTATGTATGCATACCCATTACATGCACACCTGGCTCCCACAGAAGCCAGAAGAAGGAAGGCATCAGATTCTCCTGGAACTGGGGTTACAGATCATTGTGAATCTCCATCTGGATACTGAAAACTAAACCCAGGTCCTCTGCAAGAGCAGCAAGTGTATTTAATCACAGAGTCACCTCTCCTGCCCTCTGTAATTCTTTAAAAAAAAGAAACAAATGGGTTGTCTCTATTATGTAGCTCTGGCTGTCCTGGAACTTGCTATGCAGACCAGGCTGGCCTCACAGAGATCCACCTGCCTCTGTTTCCCAGGTGCTGGGATTAGAAGCGTGGCCCTCCACACTCAACTCTTCTTTATTAAACAATCCATTTCTTTCACAGTAAATTGTAATTATTTACTTTTTTGTTTCATTGATTTAACTTATTCTTGAATATTTTCAGATGCTTCAACATTCAATAATAAGTTCCCTAACCTGTTTTAAAAGCATCTTCTTTTGCCCCAAATAATCTTAGCTAGAGAATATTTAAATTCTCTCACCAAGAAGCTGAATGTCACTAACAAATTGTTATAGTCTGCACTGATTCATCAGACCTACATGCTTCCCTTAATTGCTAACACCTTTTGGCCAACAAAGTACTGTGCTAGGTAATGGAAGAAGCGCAAGGATAAGAAAATTAAATTATATGATGTTAGTCTAGAACAGGGAAAGCAGGGCCTGATCTCAGCACCACAACGTGTATGTGTACACATATATTTCTTCCTTTAAAGGTTTTGAATGATTTAAGTGTGAACATGACAAGAAAGGGGATATTTCAAGTAGGATGAGGTAAAGAACCATACCGTACTACTGTCTATGTAAAAATGCATGTTTTATCAAGGAGGTAGTGGTGGGAATTAGTAATGCAGCCAGCCCTCATTTTGTAGGCAGTTAGTCAGGTTACAGAGCCAAGAGAAAGTAATCTAGGCCTTGGTGGAACCAATAGCCACCTCCAACAACACTGAGGTTTTACAGCAAACAACCTAATTGGTGAGCTTAAGGAACTAAAATCTAAAAAGCCCTGACTCATCAAAACACTGGCTGACCACTCTGTTCTTCTTACTTGCTGGTTCCTTACCCCCACACGGAACTTATGGTGGGCTTTCCTGAGACTGTACATACCTGCTCATCTGATTAGAATTCCCCACTTACATATAAATTAACTATCCGGATTCATCCTGGCCTAATACCTAATTTGCATACTGATAGGACCAAATTGGCCCGTTCCCAGGACACAAACATCCTCTGCTCCAAAACCATTATTTGGCAACTCATTAGAGAGCTATCTCTTTCCTTCCAATGAACTCTGCTGCCGGCCCTTCTTGTACTGTCCTCGCTCCTCATTCTTCATCGTTGAGACAGAAAACTTGGCTCTGACTCAAGAAACCAGTAACACTAGATACCGTCATCTGCGAGATGTACCATTATTTTGTATTCCACTAAAGAAAAATGCTGCTGAAAGTATTAATAAATGTTCATTAATTATGAAAAACTGTTAAAAATAAATGAGAGATGCTCCCTAGTTTCAGAGATGTTAAAGTTTGTGAGGAAGGAGGGGAAAAAAGGTGGATTGGGAGGAAAAGTAGAAACAGAAGAAAAAGAAAATTACCATTCTATCAATAACACTGAGTTTTCCAGAAACCAAGGACATGAAGACATGGGTCACTGGTTATTCCTTTAAGCTTCATCAGCATGAGGAGGAGAAGCCACAGAGGTGCTGTCACCCAGCAACTGCTACTTACTGTCTTCATTTGCCTGCTCACCCTGGCTCGTTCCTTTAGCTTTAGACTGTCTACACCACCGTGCTTTAGATGGATCTCTGCTGTGGATGTCTTTCTGTACACTGTGAATATGTGTTCTCTGATTGGTTGATAAATAAAACACTGATTGGCCAGTAGCCAGGCAGGAATTATAGGCGAGCAGATGAGGAGAATGCTAGGAAGAAGAAGGGCTGAGTCAGGAGTCACCAGCCAGACACAGAGGAAGCAAGATGACAAGGCAGAACTGAGAAAAGGTACCAAGCCACATGACTAAACATAGATAAGAATTATGGGTTAATTTAAATGTAAGAGCTAATCAGTAATAAGCCTCAGCAAATGGCCAAGCAGTTATAATTAACATAAACTTCTGAGTGATTGTTCTATAAGTGGGCCATAGGACCGTGGGGGCCTGGCGGGACCAGGGAAACCTTCCGACTACAGCTCTCTTCTTGACCATAGTAGAAGTTGTTGAATCTTGTTTCGTAGTTCAAATTGACTATGACAGAAAGCTATGCATATGTAAACACACACATACACACTTTCAAAACTTAAAACCACACATGGACTTATAGACTACAGATCATAGCTTATGACAGAAAGACAAAGACAATTATAACAGAAACGTTGCACTTGAAGATACACATAATTAATAATAAAAAGACTCACATGCTGGGCCGCTTGTAAATTAGACTAAAAAAACAAAATTAGGATGCCTCTACCTAGCATAGTTTGACCAGCACCACAGAAGAAAGGAAATGAGGGGAAAGAATAGTTGATAAGCATCTATCTTAAAGAATCATAAATAGAAAAAAAAAACTTTTAAAAAATAGATGAAAATAGCATTCCTAGTAACAATAGGCTAGATTTATCCGGCCAATTTTCTCATTCTAAAACCATGTAAAGTACTTAGCAAAATTATTATTATTACTTTAAATCTTCAGAGTATTGTTTCAGTCAGGTGTTGTCATCACTGTGACTACGTAAGATTCTGGTAGGTGTCAGACCTGTAAACAGCTACCCAACATGCTTCACAACAGATCTGAATTCCATCAAATTAGTGATTTTCCTCTAGGTCTAATTTATTCCAGTTTAATTTTGGTTTAAGTATATTGTAGTCTTAACTTTGTCATTTCCTATTTGGTAATTTACTAGCTGCTAAAAGATGAAAATACCTAGTTGACATTTTTAAATGCTTACTATGTGCCAGGCATATAGTAAGACAAGTGCATACAAGTAGAAAAGTGTCTTACATGTGTAAAATGACCTCGCATTCACAACAATCCCACCACAGCACTACCAGTATTTTACAGAAAGGGAAACTCACCTATAAGGAGTTAAGTAACTCCCAATGTCACACACGTAAGCACAGAAGCATAAAAATCTCTACCCTTGTTATCTGTCTTCAAAACCCAAGCCCTTAGCTACTATGCTATATTACTTTTCACAATACTTAAAAGAAAAATGAAAAATTTAGGAAGGACAAAAACCTCACCATTAAAAATTATCCAAAGGAGTTAAGGAATATGTAAGCAATATTAATACCAATATAATTCATCATAGGTTGGTACATCACAGCTATTTCAAAGTGTCTTAGCCTTGATTAGTAGTTTTGAAGTTGGACAGACCTGGCTCTGAATCTTGGCTGTGCCTTTTACAAGCTGTGTGACTTTGGACAAATTTCGTAACTTCACCAAGTGTCAGTTTCCTCATCTGCAAAATGAGAATAATAAATGTCTTATCCACTGTTCTTAGTGACACGGGTACAAAAGTAAAAAGAGGTTTTCAATAGTCAGGAACGGCTCTACTGTAGTGAGAGAATGAAGATCATCACTGGGCACTGGGCAGCAGCTTCAGATCCACACACGGATTGAAAACACAACAAATAATTCCACAAATACAAGCCAAATGCCTAGAGATAAGTCACTCAGATTTCTGTTTGTTTCTGCAGCATCAGGGGCAGGACTCAGGGCTTTGCAGGCCTATGCTAGTCCACACCTGAGACAAACACCTGAGCCTGATCACTGGATCCTGGCAATAAAACAGAAAAGGGAAGATCAAGGGATCAAGGGACACAAAAGAAGAAGGTCTGTGTCAAAAAAGGATCAATTCCTGGCACTTTCAGGAAGGAATTTTTATGGAAGAAAAACAGAAAGAGTAGAAAACGGACTCAGAGTTGTGGAATGCAAGGGAAACCTACTCAAAATGAAGGGATCTCCATGATTAATCTTTAAAGTCTTACCCATTTTTTTCCTTTTTCATATCAACTAAGGCAAAAAAAAAATTCATTTTCTTGTAGCAAACAGGAGCTCTGCTATGTGCTAAAAAGTCATTTATAAGCCGGGCGGTGGTGGCGCACACCTTTAATCCCAGCACTCAGGAGGCAGAGGCAGACGGATCTCTGTGAGTTCGAGGCCAGCCTGGTCTCCAAAGTGAGTTCCAGGAAAAGGCGCAAAGCTACACAGAGAAACCCTGTCTCGAAAAACC